AAAGCAATTTTGTAATTGTAATAAATTTGTGTGTCTTACCATTTAATTGCGTTAGTCACAAACAACTTCATTACTTTTACTTTTCCATTGTACTTGTTCTCAAATACCGATTCATCTGTGGATACCCATTCTGAATTGGGTAAGTTGTGCATTTTTTAATTAGTTTTTGTTTGAAAGAATTCCGGGTATATCCTTTCAAATCCTTGCAAAATTACATTGCCGCGTTGAACCAATTTGGCCAACACAGGATACATTGATTTATCTTTTTGGTTATTGGTCAGTCAGTGATTGATTGCTGAAATAGACCATTCAATAACGAAATAATTAACAACTAATCAAGTAAATATTTTGTTTATCTAATTACTGTATTTTAACATATCATTTGTCACAACAAAAGAAGATACCTACGTATTTTTTTAAGTTGTCTTTATAGCAAAAAGATCGCATTCGATTTGCTACGAATAGTGTCATTAGAGATCAATATTTAGTTGTAATATTTACTCATAATCTGCTTATAACCATGGGCTATCTCCTACCAAAATACATAATAAAACTTAGGGAGAAACTGACGCCATCAGCATTTTCTTCGGCTCATTTTGATATTTTAAGAAGTTTTCTTATTAGAAATTTTCATTAACTTCTTGACCAACCTTCAACCTTTCTAATTTTATTTCTAAAATATATTTTTAGCTAAAGATTAAGGAGATATTGTTTGTCTCACAGTTATACTTTATTTGTATTTGTATTCAATGTAACAATAGAGAAATATAAGTCTTGCTGGGTTTATAAGTCTTTACTGAAACCACCTGCCTTACCAAGTTTATATTGTACAACATCAGGTAACTGAGTACAGTCTCTAAAATTAAAAATACACCTGCACATCACGGGAAAAACAATGGAAGAGTCTATTTATATTCTACACCGTACTTATGATAATTAGGATCCTTTTACTGAAGAATGACCGAGTAGATACCACAGTAACAACTTTGACAAACTACTTTTATTGTATTTAATTTCAACCATGAGAAATCATTGCGCTAATACGCCTAAAGTAAGATGGCTATCGAAAAATCATAAGACACAAACGTTTTAAGGTTTTTTAAATATATTACAGTTAAGAAAAATTAAGTATACAGGCTCAGTCAAAAGGTCATGGCGAAACAAAGTTGCTTTTTATTTAATGGAACACCCTGTATATTATTCCATATTTCAATTCTTCTAGAAATTCTAAACAACATTCATATAGCACATATATCTAAACTTAACCGTTTTGATTTTGCGTTTGTCTACAGTCTACAGTCTAGATTACAAATTAAAAAATAAATTACTTTTCTTCAAAATTTGTCGTTGTTATAATCAAGAAACGCAGATCTGCTTCATTATAGTTCCAAAGTCATCGAGGGGACAGTAATTTGTTATATAAACCTCCTTTCTCTGCTAACCAAATAAGTAATCAATAAATACGATGGAAAAAGTATAACAGTGTTTATTGTTACACAACGGGAATCTCTAACAAAGTGTTTACAATTAGATTTTTGTTGCGATGTCCTAGATCGAGATTGGCGATAAGTTTCATCTAAGATGAGAATTAATGAAGTTCCTTATTAAACACGATCGATCCAATTTAGAAAATTTTTTGGTGAATGAAGCAATTATTTATTTGTATGGGGTCAGTTACTCTGAGCTTTTGACTTCATTTATTTATTTATTTATTTATTTTTTGAGATGAATGCCTAATACATTTCTTTGTTATTTGTGATTGGGTTGCTTTTCTAAAGATACATAATTCTGTGTATTTAAGTAAGTACAATGTTTAAATTTCATATTACGAAAACACATTTGTGCAATGCACTAGTCACCACTCAAATGTTGTTAATTAGTGGAAAATTGTTGTGGAATTATTCATTATATAATACTTTTATTACAATATCTAAAAACATTTCCATGTCATTTTGTCTAATACCTCACGATAAACATTGCATTAAATACCTACAAGTTGTTTTAAAACTTTGAAACCTGTATACGAATTCTATAAAAAAATTATTAGAGATAATTATATGTTAATTGTATAGCAATTTTGTATATAGAATAAAAAATTAAGCCAGTTAAAATTTTTTTTAACAAGTTACTCAGTGTACAAATAAATGAACTTGCCAATCGTTGTAAGCCATTTCCGCTGAACATTAGAATGATTTATTTTAATTAATTATTTATTTATTATTATTACTATTATTATTATTTTTAAATGACACCTCTTCCTGACGAAAGCGTTAGAAATTATTGAAAATAAAAATCAAAATTCTTTTAATAAGTAAACTTTCAAACAAGAAATGCACTGACAGAAGCGTAAGTCTTAATCAGGGTGTTATAACTTTTATCTTTTAAAAGATTATTCATATTTGAGTACCTTTACATTTACTTCCTCTTACAGTGTCCCCTTCTACTGCTATAAACGCTTTGCATTTCGCATTGACCTGTTTCTTTAGTCACGATAAAATTATTACCTATTATTTTGCCATAACTTCCTACATACTTCAGTATTATTTACGCTGCAAATCAAGGAGATACTTTTAGCTATGATTTAAATAATATAAAATGTAAACATCTGCATAACGTGCATAAATTACGCAGTCACAGTTCATCAAACGGAAACGGGTGAAACTTACACCGAATTTTTTTTTGCGATATTGACTTCATTTCTCATGCCGCATCTCTTCCCAAATTTCTTTGGATAAGTTGTGAATCACACTGTATATAGCAATGTTATTTGTCTAAATGAGGTGCTATATTATTTATTTATGAAGTTGCATCTTCTATATTAAAAAAATAATAGTAGGTAACTAATTAATTATATTTTGATATGAAAAGTTAAATAGCTTTTAGACATTGAATTTTTGTTTACAGTATATCGGAAACTATCATTTACTAGCCGCAATTACTTTTCTGTTAAATTTGTATTCGTTGAAGAAAATGAAAGTATTGACTGAGGTTAAAACACTTTGTGTGTTTCATTTAAGAAATGAAATTAGTTATTGTTACGCTTTTATTATTTTTTTATAACTGACAATGAGAACGAAGTTTGAAGAAATCAGGAACTGTTTGCAAGTTACGGATAAAATAAAGTTTAAAGAAGTGATCGATGAAAGATAACTGTTGAAGCAACTTCATTGTATTCTATGTTTGGAATTGGAAGACGATTCAATTTTTATGTTTAATTAATTATTTGACAGCTGAGAGAATTTATAAAGTTCCTAGAACTTGTAAATCAAGGTATAAAGAATCTGGAAAAACTAAGTCAAAAACTATGAACTGAATGGAGGACAGTAGTTTTATCTTTTCCTCTTACCCGTTGGAAACTATTACGAATATTTTTAGTCTCTTCCCATATAAATAATGAAATAAGTAAATAATCAATTTATAGATCAAAATCGACAATTTGAAACATGTAAATTCAAAATTTAATATTCTTCAGATTTTATTAAGATTTGTTACGGCCGATTTCTTATAGTTCACGAGATATTCAGATTTCAATTTATTTGTTGCTTATTTGCTTTAAAAATGGATAATAATGACATATTTAGAACCAAAATGGATTTTGAAAATAATGTTTGAGCATCGTTTAAGATTATCTGAATAATAGAAAAAAATGCAAATAAATTTCTTATCAAAACAACCATAATTCTTAAGAAAACATAATCACAATGAATCAGTATACGGCATAGAAAACGGATAGGTATCAATAGTTAAGTACATAATTTACAACAAAAAAAAACAAATTTTTCAAAAAAATACTAAAAAAACTAATTATTGTTCAAATCAAATACGTTTTTATTAAAATTTTCACTATTTTAGCTCAAAAGAAAAAATAGTCCCTTGACTATTCCATATGTGTGTTAAATGTGTAAAACATTATTTTTACCATTTTTAATTGAAAAAAGTTAGCACTCTTTTTTTAATTGAGCAAACTATATACAACAAAATCTAATAAATAATAATAATAGAATCTAAAACAAATTAAATTTTGAATCTGCTTGTTAAATGTTGACAAAGAGTTCCAATACTGCGTGTGCAGAGCCACGTGGCCCCAACAATTCCGAATACTGAAATCCGATTTTACAATTAGTATTAACGTCGTTGCGATAGTGTTTACAATAGTTTTTTAATAGTTAGTGTTACGTGTATAGCAACTCGGAGTTGATGGATATTGTTTTAATTTATAGTGAAGCAAGACAACANAATTAATTTTATTAATTAATAATAACAAACGCAGCAAAAGCAGTTGAATTTGCTCATATAAAATAGGTGTTATAAAATTGTATTTATTTCTTTCCTTGCGAAGTTTTTGTCTGCTCATTTTTTATTACAGTTTGCCACTGTGGCGGTTGCCTTGTGCAAGGTCAGGTTTTACAGTGGACCAGTTTCCAGTGCCGTGCAGAAGTGTATTTTTAAATCATTTTTGAACTACCCTTTTTGATTTTTTTCTTACAAAATTGTATTTGTGAGTCCCCTGTACATCCAAAAAATTTTTTTTGGGTAAGTTCTGAATAACCCTGTATTCTATATTTGTTTATCAAAGCACCTCTCAAATTTAAAAAGAAATTTAAAATGCTTTAAAAGTATAAATGGTGTTGCACTTGAAAAAATTAATTTAATTAATAGTACACCCTGTATAATCGAGAATATAATACAATTTTAAGATATGCAGAAATTCATATACCGCTATTTCTATTAAATTTATCGATATTATTAAAACTACGTAAGAATACGTCTTAAATGAACGGAACAACCGGTATAGACTTTGTCCAAAAATTTGTGATCTTAATTTTATTTGCTTTAAGATGTTTTTTAATATGCACGTTTGCAATATGCACAATGTTCCGAAAACCTTAAAAGAGGCACCTTAAAGGTAGCTATATGTATCAACGAGTCATTCTGAGGTCTATGATATGTATAAATCACCGATCGATACTAATTTGGACATTTATTTGAATGCAGGTTACCTTTGGGCATGCCACAAGGAGCCTTCGTCCTGGAACTGTCCAAAAAATCCAAGTCGTACTTCCTAGCTGGAGGAAAAATAAGAGCCACATGACCAACTGTCGGATAAATCCAGAAACACAACACTAGAAGCACACAGGCCAGCTCTAAGACACATTTGGGTACCAACTTCGGCCCCATATTGCACTCACTATCCACAGCAGACACAGGGATTTGCAGATCCTAGCATAACAGCTCACGGAGTAAACCCTCACGTCTACACAACACTTAAGAACTGAAACTTAGTCATCGGCTGGTCTCGACCTCACTTCCACTTCTCTAGGTACTTCTCGTTTCACTTCTATCGGAGTGTATGGGCTATCTGGCGATATTGCTCGGGAGAATACTTGGCCGTGCCTGCATTTTGTGTTGTTGAGATTATTCGCAACTTTCTATTGTAAATATGAGCCGCCCCGCCGTGTTATTATTGTAGGTTTTGAACTCTTCAGGAAATAGCATGTAGTCATAGAAAATATTTGAACTTAGAGGATTATGCGTGTAGTGAAGTGAATTATTTCAAACAGTCTCTATGATATGAGGTTAATTAACTAATATGAAATACTTCTGAGGTTAGTGGATCCTCGAGGCGAAGCTGGGGAAACGTACAGGGTGGCCAAACGAAAACGAAACAGGGCCATTTTCAGGAACTGCGCCAAGATTGTAGAAAAATGCTCAGACCCGTCGATTTTAGATTAAAAGGGGACATTCTTTGCTGGTATTTTTGACACCGCCACTTTCACCCCCAAGCAAGGGTAAGCATCACCCCAAAATATTTAAATGGCATTGGGAGTTGAATAATATTTCTTTTGAAAGTTCTTACAATTCTCTTTACAACATACCTTAAATTTTATAATTCCGCCCAATATTTTGAAAAAAATTTACATTTTAAAATTTAAATTATGTTTAGTTGCGTACTTACTACTTAGTTGGTTAAATGTTCAAACTGATGACCGCCCGCTTTCATATAAGAATAAAGATTTTGTTCGAAACGTTCGCGCACATTCCGAAGCATTTCCGGAGTGATTCGACGGCATTCGTCGACGATTCTTTGACGCAAATCTTCCAGCGACGCTGGCTGTGTTTTATAGATTTTACTTTTTAGGTATCCCCACATAAAGAAATCAAGAGGCGATAAATCCGGTGATCGTGGAGGCCACTCAATACTGCCTCTTCTCCCAATCCAATTCCGTAGAAAACGTTGGTCCAAATACTGACGAACAATCAACGCATAATGCGGAGGAGCATTGTCCTGTTGAAAAATCAAATCATCTTCATACTCTGGAACATTTTCAATAATATCAGTCAAGGCATGGTTAATAGCGTCTTCTAGTAATTGCAAATACATTTGACTAGTCAAATTACCAGGTAGAAAAAAGGACTCGCCAGCTGGTTACCGAAAATTCTAGCTCATACATTTAATTTTTCCAGTTGCTGTGTGAAAAACTCTTGGGTTTGAATCGAACAAACAGCGGCAATTGTGACGATTTACCGTCCCGTTCCATGTGGAATCCACTAATTTTACGTTCATTCATTTCTGTTTTTTACAATTGTGTTTTATTTACGAAAGTGATAATTAATCGCCTAAATCCAATGTAACGCAAGAAATACTAAATTTATACCATTGGCGTACTTAACTCGAATGACTGACATTTTTACCTTACTAATTGTTTGTACATAAGTTTCAACTTTAAAATCAAAATTCTTAATAAGTATTGGGCGGAATTATAAAATTTAAAGTCTGTTGTAAAGAGCTTTCAAAAGAAATATTACTCAACCCCCAATGCCATGTAAATATTTTGGGGTGATGCTTACCCTTGCTTGGGGATGAAAGGGGCGGAGTCAAAAATACCAGCAAAGAATGTCCCCCTCTAATCTAAATTCGACGGGTCTGAGAGTTTTTCTACAATCTTGACGCAGTTCCTGAAAATGGCTCTGTCTCGTTTTCATTTGGCCACCCTATATTTTAAACGTAGGTACTAACAATTGATAGAGAATTTGACTTTGAACAAAAGAATTCATATGAACATACAGGTAGATCATAAATTGCTTCTTGTGTCGAATTTATTTATTTTTTTACCTTTTTATCGTGATGTCTAAAAAACAGTAAGTACTAACGAAATCAAATTTGGTATGTATTGTGGAGACGTAATGTCCTTTAAAAATAATCTGCAATCGATTCACTACAACCATCAGAGGCGTGGTAGACGGGTAGTCAGTGCCCTTTTTAATATAATTTCTACGCCTATGAGTTTTTTTTTTGATATTGCATGACATTTCTGACGTCGCTGATCAGTTTTATACGAACAGCAAAATTCTCATAAAATTCAAGATTTCTGTGTAAATGGCTTAAAACCCATTTGTTATACACAAAATTTTAGTTGGTTCAGACAGATCTAATAAACGATAGACTTCTTTGGTGCTAAATAACTGTTAGTAACCTACAAATAAATAACTGTCAGTACAATTATCACATTGTAAATAAAATGAATAGGTAGAGAAGGTCCTGGATCATAACTAGAGATCGGAAATGTTAGGACGGCTGCAATGTGGTACAGGGTTGGCTGTAGGGCTGGCTCTTTTTTGCATAATTTTATTTAAACAACACAAGCGTTGTCTTCTTATAACTTTACATTATTAGAATATACAGGGTGGTCCCGAGGTAATGGGCCAAAATTCAGGGGTAGATTTCCGAGGAAAAAATATTGTGATTTAACCGAACTTACCCTAGTCCAAAAGTTGATAGTTAAGAAGTGTGTCAAATGTAAAATATTATTTTAGTTTATTTTCATTTATTTCTTAATAAATGCAAATATCCATACAAAATTTTGTGGTTTGAGGTTCTTTGGGTAGAGGAATTATTTGTTCACATTTTGGTTATGGTTCATAGAGATCGCTAGCTGCCGTAGATTGAATGTGTTGACAACGACATAACTTTTTGTACTTTAACGTATCTCATTATTGGTATCAAATTCTTATTTTCCAACTTGTTTTACACAAAAAAGGTATACTTTATAAATGTAGTTGCCTCGCACCGTTTTCGAGATATTTGGCTTTGAAACTTCCAATGCTAATAGTTGAAATAATTAAAATAATTTAGAAATGTTAAAAACAAGGGTTTATTTAGAATAAAAATTGTGATGAACAATAAAATACTAAACATTAGTAAAAAATATGCCTTCTTGACAATAATTGCTCAAAATATCCACCTCTAACTCCATATACTTATCAACGCGTTTATTAAAAGATTGTATTATTTTAAAGTAAATCCTTAACGCGAAATGTCTTTGCAGCATTTAAAACCTGCTGCCAAAGTTCTTCCCAGGTGTTTATAGTTTATTCATAAACAACTGATTTCATGTAAACCCAAAAGCGGAAGTCTCGGCATTATTTACGTTTATGTACATACAATTTAAATTGTAAGCTAAGATATAATTTTAATTAGGTACGAATAATACTTAATGGAAAGTAGCATACAAATGACAGCAGTAAGACAAGCGGAAAACGTCAATTATTTGATTTTCGTCCAAACTTAAGAAATTTACCGCTAAATTAATAATATGTACCTACTTACTCGTAATTTAATTCAACACCATTGGAAGTTTCAAAGCCAAATATCTTGAAAACGGTGCGAGACAGCTAGTTTCATAAAGTATACCTTTTTTGTGTAAAAAAGCTGGAAAATAAGAATTTAAATACCAAAGAGATACCTTAAAGTATAAAAAGTTAGGTCGTTTTTAACATATTCAATCTACTNTAACTGTTAGTAACCTACAAATAAATAACTGTCAGTACAATTATCACATTGTAAATAAAATGAATAGGTAGAGAAGGTCCTGGATCATAACTAGAGATCCGAAATGTTAGGTTGGCTGTAGGGCTGGCTCTTTTTTGCGTAATTTTATTTAAACAACAACACAGGCGTTGTCTTCTTATAACTTTACATTATAAGAATATACAGGGTGGTCCCGAGGTAATGGGCCAAAATTCAGGGGTAGATTCCCGAGGAAAAAATATTGTGATTTAATCGAACTTATCTTAGTCCAAAGGTTGATAGTTAAGAAGGGTGTTAAATGTAAAATATTATTTCAGTTTATTTTCATTTACTTCTTAATAAATGCAAATATCCATACAAAATTTTGTGGTTCTTTGGGTAGAGGAATTGTTTGTTCACATTTTGGTTATAGTTCATAGAGATCGCTAGCTGCCGTAGATTGAATGTGTTGAAAACGACATAACTTTTTTGTACTCTAACGTATCTCATTATTGGTATCAAATTCTTATTTTTCAACTTTTTTTACACAAAAAAGGTATACTTTATGAATGTAGCTGCCTCGCACCGTTTTCGAGATATTTGGCTATGAAACTTCCAATGCTAATAGTTGAAATAATTAAAATAATTTAGAAATGTTAAAAACAAGGGTTTATTTAGAATAAAAAATTGTGATGAACAATAAAATACTAAACATTAGTAAAAAATATGCCTTCTTGACAATAATTGCTCAAAATATCCACCTCTAACTTCATATACTTATCAACGCGTTTATTAAAAGATTGTATTATTTTAAAGTAAATCCTTAACGCGAAGCATTTAAAACCTGCTGCCAAAGTTCCTTCCAGGTGTTTATAGTTTATCCATAAACAACTGATTTCATGTAAACCCAAAAGCGGAAGTCTCGGCATTATTTACATTTATGTACATACAATTTAAATTGTAAGCTAAGATATAATTTTAATTAGGTACGAATAATACTTAATGGAAAGTAGCATATAAATGACAGCAATAAGACAAGCGGAAAACGTCAATTATTTGATTTTCGTCCAAAGTTAAGAAATTTACCGCTAAATTAATAATATGTACCTACTTACTTGTAATTTAATTCAACACCATTGGAAGTTTCAAAGCCAAATATCTTGAAAACGGTGCGAGACAGCTAGTTTCATAAAGTATACCTTTTTTGTGTAAAAAAGCTGGAAAATAAGAATTTAAATACCAAAGAGATACCTTAAAGTATAAAAAGTTAGGTCGTTTTTAACATATTCAATCTACTGCAGCTAGCTCCCTCTATGAACTTTAACCAAAATGTAAACAAATTTCAATTCCTCAACTTAAAGAACTCCAAACCCCAAAATTTTGTGAGGATATTTGTGTTTATTCCTTAATAAATGAAAAAACACAAATAATATTTGACGTTTAACACCCTATATCTCTTTAACTATTAACTTTTGAACTACGGTAAGTTCGGTTAAATCGCAATATTTTTGGTTCGGGAATCTACCCGTGAATTTTGGCCTATTACCTCTG